TGGGGGTGGGATGGGGTGTTGAGAGATGGTGAAGCCGCAGGTGCCAAATCAATAGATTGGAGGAGAAGGCAGCCCCCTTGGGAGGGGGGCATATGCTAAAGAGAGACCCCCCAGAAAGAGTTCAGAGAAGATGTGAAAGGGGATTCAAAGGGAGCGCGCCTGAATCCTTATCACAACCCTTTGCGCTGCAATCTTGTGTTGCAGACCCACCCCGGCTAATCAGACATAAAATGAATTATTGTAAGCTGTGATTAAACCACCACTATTAAACATTTCCCCCCTGCCCTGAAACATGCACCAGCGTTTGGGATAATCTACCAAGTCTGCAATAATAACACGATTCTTTTGGTGTCTTTTTTTTAGTTTTATTATTATTATTCAATTGACTGTAGCCACTTAGTTAAATTGATGGTTTTTAAACGAGTTCTTACTGCAGTAAAGACTGCAGGGTTACTTAACTTGAACGTTGTTTTCTTTATTTTATTTTTTTGTGGCACTTTGGTCTTATCTGTGTAGTTTTTTGTTTTTTTTTGTTTACCCCAGGTCTCTTGAAATAGAAAACCATTCAGACCTTTTAGGAGAGAATTAAAAATTAGTGGGTGTGCTGAGGGATGCCCCTTAATTCTAAACAAGAGGTGGGAAGTCCAGAGGAAAGAAGAAGAAGAAAAAAAGTCCCAGAAACCCAGCTAGATATAGAGGAAAGAGTTGGGAGAATCTCATAAAAATGCTGAGCGATAAAATTAAGAATAGCAGTTGGGCTGTTTATGTAGTATAAAGTCTTCCGCTGTAAGGATCCATCAAATGACGCCTGTAGGATCTTCGGATTGAATTGATCCTCTCGTGTTTTGGACCACCGACTCTTGAATTTGGTGACTTGTGACTGGTCAATAGGCCAAGGACACCCCCCCCCTTAAGAGGGTGGTTGCCCCCCCCCTTATGCCCTGATATTGAGGCAGCAAAGGAACTGCAGACTTAAGCAAGATGCAATCTCCCTTTTAAGACAGGGGTGTCCAACCTTGGCCACTGTTAAGACCTGTGGACTTCAACTCCCAGAATTCTGGCTGGCTGGCTGGGGAATTCTGGGAGTTGAAGTCCACGAATCTTAAAAGTGGCCAAGGCTGGACACCTCTGATTTAAAAGTAGCCCATTGCAAGGAGTGGGTGAGCTGGCCTGGGAGAAACAATGCCTTTGGTTTCCAGAGAGGTGAGCCCAGTCAAATCCAGTTTCTTAATGGGAAGGATGACCCCCCCACACACACCAAGAGGCCTGGCCCACAAACCCTGATTTGCTTGATGTGAACATGTATGCTACATGTCAAAAGCCACAAACACACCTCAAGGTTTCCCACAGCCTCATTAACCGGATCAGGGGTGGATTGAGCTGCTTCCTTCACAGCACCCCCTAAAGCAGGGGTCTTCAAACGTGGCCCTTTTATGACTTGTGGACTTCAACTCCCAGGATTCCTCAGCCAGGCATGCCTGGCTGAGGAATTCTGGGAGTTGAAGTCCACAAGTCATAAAAGGGCCACGTTTGAAGACCCCTGCCCTAAAGCTTAACTTGCGGACTTCAACTCCCAGAATTCCTCAGCCAGTGTGGCTGGCTGAGGAATTCTGGGAGTTGAAGTCCACAAGTCATAAAAGGGCCACGTTTGGAGACCCCTGCCCTAAAGCTTAACTTAGTTTGTCTTGACTTTGTTGGTTTGTGGTTCAGCTTCCCCTGCCAGACCTAGCCAGGGGTTGGTTTACAGCTCAGGCAACCTTTGGGAGAAATCAGGATGGGGGTCAGGTGTAATAATAATAATAAAAAATAAAAATAAACAACAAAACAACAACAACAACAACAACAACAACAACTATTATTATTATTATTATTATTATTATTATTATTATTATTATTATTATTATTATTATTATTATTATTATTATTATTATTATTATTGATCATCACATACTCAGCCAGTATGGCATTTTTGTCTACCTATTGAGTCCTTCCCAAGGACCTGGGATAGGCAGATGTGGATGTTTGATGGTATTGACTACTGGTGAATTTGTCAGTGCCAATGGTGGTGTTGTTGTTATTATTATTTAAAAAAACAAAGCCAGTTTGATCTAGTGCAGGGGTCTGCAAGCTTGACAACTTTAAGACTTGTGGACTTCAGCTCCCAGCTGGCTGAGGAATTCTGGGAGCTGAAGTCCACAAGTCTTAAAGTTGTCAAGCT